TAATTCATATTAATAAGTAGATTACTGTCTGATTAAATCTAGAATTAAATAAAATTAATAAATATAAATAAAAATATAAAATAAAAAAAATTCTTAATTTTTATATATATTAAAAATATCTAGTATATTATATTAAATAGAAAAACTCGACTAAAGCAGATTTATTATAATATTTAATAAAAAATTTAAAAAATATTTTTATATTTCTAAAAAAGTTTTATAATTTTTGTTTAGAAAGCTCTAATTTTTTAAAATATTTAAAAATCTAACTAAAAACAGCTATAAAAAAAGTTTCTAATTCTAATTATTTTAATAATAATTTTATTTTAGATTTTATAAAATATCCACAGTCTATAATTATATTATAAAAATAATAATAAAAAAAACTATAAAAATACTTTTTGTTTAAGAGCAGTTAAGACTAATCTAAAGAATAATATAAAAGCTATATAAAAGATATTTAAATAAAATAATAGATTAAGATTAGTTTAATCTATTTAATTTTTTTATTTTATTTATATTATATTTAGATAATATAATACTGCAGGAAATATAGGTATTTTTTTCTTTTTTTTTTCTTATATCTAAGATTTTGTTTTAATAGTACTATATTACTGAAATTCAGTTGGTTTGATCGGCCATCACATTATTTTAATTAGATAATTTAAAATAGTAATATTTTAGGCTTTTAATTAATTTAATATTAAAAAAATTAATTTTTTTAATAATCTTTTAATTAATAAAAATATTATTAATTAAAATTCTTAGTAGTAAGATACATAGTAAATAATTTAGAATATATAATAAATTTTTGAAAATTTAGATTTTTTAAAAATTCTATAAAATTATATAATAGAGATTATTTTTTTAAATAATTTTTCTAAATTATATAATTTATTTTAAAATTTATTTGGATTATCTAGTTTTAGCTTAATAAAATTTTTAATATTAAAGTTATTTAATTAGTTTAATTTCTAATTATTTAAATTTAAATAGAATTAATTATTTAAATAAATTACTAGTTAATTAATATATTTTTTAATTTAAAAGTCTATTAATAGTTAGATTTTTTATTTAATATAATATTATATATTAATATTATATATTTTAGAATTAGAATCTAAATTTATTAGATATTAAAATTTTATATTTAATTAAAAAATTATTTAGAATTTTAGATTCTAGCTTATTTTTTTAGAAAGATTATTAATTTTAATATAAATATATAATTTATACTTTTTTAAATAAAAAAATCTAATTTTTAAATAATTAAAAAAATTATTATAAAAGACTTTTTTATATAATTTTATATAATATTTTTTAATTAAGCTGTTTATTTAAAATCTTATTTAGAATATAAATAGCTGTTTTTATTATTTTAAACTAAATAAATAAAAAAATCTAAATTAACTAATAAATATTTTATTTTAAAAATAATTAGAACTTTAGCTTTTTTTAAAAATAGATTTTACTTAAATTAATAAATAAAAAAGAAATTAGTATTAATTCTTTTTTAGTCAATCTAATTTCAAAATTTATTAAGATTTTAGTTTCAGTTTAAATAAAATTATTTAGATATTATTTTATATTAATTAATTTTATAAATAATTATATTAATAATTAACTATAAATATTTTTTTAATAATAGAACTTACTCTAAATAAAATTTTAAATAGAAATAATAAAAATAACTAATATATCTTTTTTTATTTAAGTTAGATATTAAATAAATTAAATTTTAATGAATAGTTTTAAAAAATTTAATATTTTAGTTAATTTTTTTTTTAAAATCTGCCGGTTTAATTAGCTAATTTAATAAATAGAATATTTTTAGATTAAATCTAATTTAAAATTAATAATTGAAATTTTTTGAAATTATTTAATTAAAATATTTTAAAACTTCTTCTTCTGAATGCTCTAATTTATTATATTATTTTTTATAGTTTTAAAAATTATATAGAATTTTTTTAAAATCTAATTAGCTGTTTAATTATTAAATTAAATATTATTAAAAAAATTAATTGATTATTTTTACTAAATAAAAATATACTTTATAAATTGGCTTAATTTAATAGACTGATATTTTATTAATTATTTTAAAAAATTAATTTTTTTTATTTAAAAATAGTTGATTTTTTTTAGCTTTCTACTTTAATCTAATATTATAGTAGAATTGAGAAATAAAAATAATATTCTTTAATTTAAAAATTATATTATTTTTTTAAATAAATAAAATTAAATATAACTATTTTATAGCTTTAAATAATATTAGAAATATTTTTAATATATATCTGATTATCTTTAATTATATTATATTTAGTAAATAGTTTTAATAAATTATATTTATAGTTATTAGAAATAATGTTAAATATTTATTATTTTAATAAATCTATTGATAAATTATTTAATTTAGAATTATGTTAATATATTTATAGAATTAATTTAAATAAACCTATTTAATTTATTAATTCTTAAAGGTTTTTATAATAACTAAAATACTTTAATATATTTAACAAATCTTTTTATAAATATATCTAAATTGTAGATTTTTATAGATTTATTAAATTTAATTAAATATAGCTAGATTAAATAATTATATAAATTTTTAAAATTTTTAGTAATATATTTATAGTTTTTAAAGTTATAGTTTTTATTTTTTTTCTAATTTATATAAATATAATTAATTATATAATTTTTTTACGTTCTTATTTATTAATTTTTTTGAAAGTTTATTTATTTTAATTATTCTAATTCTAAAAAATAGTATAACTTATTCTAACTAGTTTATTAATAGATTATTTATTTAGAAAATTTAGCTGAATCTAGTTATATATTTTTTATATTAGTTTAAAAAATTTAAGAATTTTTTTTAATTATTCTTATTTTTAATAAGCTTAGATTACTATATTAAAATAAAAATATCTATTATTTTATAAATTAATTTAAAAAAGTTAAAAAATATTTTAATTAGTTTTTTTATTTTATTAATTTAAAGCTCTACTACCTTAGAATATAATAATTTTTATTATTTAATATAGATTTTAATAAAACTTTTTATTAAAACTTTTTAATAGTAATATAAATTAATAAGATTTTATTTTTTTAATTAATTAGCAGATACTAACTAGTTTTATAAAACTTAAAAAATTTAATAAGACTTTTTTAGATTAAATGTAATATATTAATTTTATTTATTTCATATAAAATTAATTAATAGACTTAAAAAAATAGTTTTAATATAATTTTATAAAACTTCTTAAGATTTTAATAATAATCTTATTTTATTTTCTAATAAAAAAATAATCTGATTTATTAAAATTAATTATTAAATTTATTAATTATTTAATCTATTTAATATTAATTATACTAGGCTGAATTAGATAAACAGGCTTAGTTAATAGTTTTAAATTTATTAAATTTTATATTTTTTTATTAATTATAAATAGTTAAATTAATTAATTTATAGAATCTAGTTATTTAATTAATTTAATTATAATATTTTATTAGATTATTAAATAATCAGATTATTTATATTAAATAAATCTAACTATAATTAGTTTAATAGTTTAATTATTTATTTAATAAAAGAATATTAAATAAATTAAAATAAAAGATCTTTTGGACTTATAATTATTAGAATTTTAGTTTTTTTTAAATAAGATTTAATTAATTTTTATTTTTTTATATAAATTGTATATAGAAGTAAGGTAAAAATAAAATTAAAATAAAAAATTATAAAATTAAAAGATTTAAAGATTTAATAAATAAGAAAATAAATCAAATAGCAAATTTAATATATAATTCTAATTAATCAAACTAAACTAAAAAACTGCTTTAATAAAAATAATAAAAAATATTAGATTATTTAAGCCAAATTTTTTATTTACTGATTTTCTAAATAAAAAACTAGAAATATTTAATAAACAGAGGTAAGAATACAGGGGTAAAAATTTAGGAATAGAATAAATAGATAAAATAAATAGAGCAGGCTAGAATAATAGCTCTTATTCAGATAACTAAATCAAGAAGGCTAGGGCTTAGGGTTTTAATACCCAGGTGACCTTCCAGTCTGACATATATTTATTAATATACTATATTTCTGTCTTCTAAATTACTTCTAGTATTTACTTTATATTTTTATATATTCTATTTTTTATATATCTAATTCTTAATATAAATATCATCTTTAGAAGCCCGCTATATATAGCAGTTCGGCTTGTATTTTTAGTAGTATTAATTTTATTATTATTATTTATTTTAAATAGTTCTTCTATGATTCGACCTTCCACCGGTTCCATATAAAAAACAACTAACTTAATTCATATAATCAAGTCCATCTGAACTCGTCAGCTGCAACTGTCACAAGCAACTAGTAGAATAGCTTTATATTATATTACAGAGCACCTCGGGGTATATATTTTAAAAAATAATTATTATATTATTTAAAAAAGAACGAGAATATCAAGCCGGTGGCTTTATATTGTATATACTATATAAGATTATATTAATACAGGATTCAGACAGAATAGGTATTTTTAGTGGTTCTTCAGTGGTTCTTTGGGGTCAACGGGAGTCTCTTACTCACACCATGACAATAAATCAAAAATTGAAAAACTATAAGTTATGTATAGAATAATTGGAAAAAGCAGTTAAATTACTAAAATCAGATAGATTAAACAGATTAAACAGATAGAATGAATAGAACAGGTAGGATAGGTGTATTAGATCTGCACTGTGACATCTGCAGCGCGGCGAATTAATAGAATTTAATATTTTTATATAATTTTATAAATATAAGAAAGAGCCTTTTCTCTTCTTCTACCAAGTCTTTTGATAATTAAGATATTTTTAGTATAGAAATTAATGTCTGTATAGAGGCAGTTTTAAGGGCGTGGTGGTGGTTCTTGGGGTGGCCGACTTGCTTACATGGCCGACTCGCTTATCGGTTACGTGACTGATTGTGCTACTTGTGCTGTATCTATTATTTATCTGCGCCAATGCGCTACCTGAATATCTACCCAAGATGTGGGGAAGCAAGGCCATGGAGTGAACGTTTTCTTATATGTCCGCACACCTAGTATTCCAACGCCCAGGATTATCTCATACTCAAGTTCCATTAATTCTCATCGACGGCAATATTATAGACTTGATTGAGCCTAACCACTAAAGTACTACTCCACGTTCGATATGTCCTTGACCACACTAATATGACTACGAGATACCCCCTCCATTCGAAGGCATAAGGACCCTTGATTCCATGACCTTCAACGATTCTACGCTATCTCGACCAGCGGTTTCCAACAACGCTGTGACCATGCCTCAGCAACCCTTGGCGTCTCAGAGAAAACCCAGGAAATTCCAACCCGAGCTTGTCGAAACCTCATCACGCAGTTCTAAGGAAGTTCGAACAAAAAGCCAGGCTACACAAGCCCCACTAGATGGCCGCAGGCGCTCAGATGGTCAGTACATGGAGCTGATATCCAGGGAGGACCCTATCGTACTTTATGATAACACGGAAGGACAAGATGCCGAACCCATTGATGCTATGCAAATGCCAAGGTGCGCAGGAATCGAACTAGAAGCGGATTCACACAAACCAAGCGAACAAAGATCAAAAGTTACGGCTAGGGTCGGCAGGCACTCCTCAATTGGGCCTACTGAAATAAAACCCAGTGAATTCGACGACGCGAAACATATAGGGCCTAGAAGATTCGCACCACAGCTCATGGAAACAGGCACACGCTCTTTCCGTCGAATGAAAACCTCTCATACAATCATTCAAGAAACGAGCAACTCATTGGTACTGGGAGAGATTCCAACCCTTGTCACCGCGGTCGGCAATAATGCACATAATCACAGGCACGTGGCCCATGAATCTTTTTTCTCGTACATGAACTTGTGCCGGCGGCAACAGACGAGGAGGCACTCGTTCCGGATCCCTGACCTTCCTGCAATTCCTTCTAGTTGTAGCGAGACATCTGATACGTCTGATAATCCGTCGGCACCTGCATCGCCTGATAGAATGGAGAAAGACAACTGTGCCGATATTAAAACCCGAGGGAGCTCCGAGGACGAAAATACAGAATACCTTTCCGCCATCGCAGCTATCACAGTAGAGAAACAGCTTAAAGAACAAGCCCTAGCAGCTTTTCCAAACGAACAAGATCATCAGCCCGTCGATCACTTTGCTATTGATCGAGAAGAGGAAGAGTTCCTGAATAATGAACGTGCAACCTCTCATGTGGGAATCCCACCTCAATACACCCATCGACGAACATCATCTGCCGATCTTTCATGGGAGCTAGACTACATGCGCAGACATAAAGAAGAAGCCGAGATGAGTGATCGTGCAATGGCTCGAACCAGAGGGTCACCATTCTTATCACCGAATGATGTTACCTCGCTTGGATTCAGGAGGCCAGCGAGACACCATGATAATCGAGTTCGGGGTCGTGATCTTGAACCAACCAGGAGCAATGCTACCCCGCCGATGCTCGGAGAGGATCTTATCTTCCCTCAAAGCCTGTCTCCAGAGTCAACAGTATGCGAGGGTAGCAATATTCAACACAACGTCACACGCAATAGACTTTGTGTTTTCTCTGGACTCTGGTATGGAAGTCCTCATGCGAACAATAGGTCCAACAATGGCGGTCTTTGGAAAGGCACTTGCAAAACTTCAAGTCCGGAAGAAATACAATCACCGCGGTGTTCAATTGCAGACTCAATTGCACAGACATACACATCTTCCACCCTTCAGCCGACCGATGTAAATCGCCCAACGGATAATAACCAGTTACTCCTGCCTACGACTCACTATAAAATACAAGAAGACTTCCGTGATGAGTCACTCGAAACGGAATTGCAAGATGGTTTGGTTACTCAGATATACAATTATCTTTCGCTTGGTTATCCCTGTGTTGCCCGATATTTTGACCACGAACTCAGCAGGATCTCTGGTATACCGGTGGCAGATTTAAGACAAGATGATCTGAACACAGATGCAAGGGGCCATGTCGGTGTTTCCGACAGTCCTTCGATGGGGGACGACATCTCAACACGTGCCTGCATGCGCTGGAAGGCTCTACAACTGTACATATTCGATTGGGCACGCGAGCGGCATCGTGTCGGATTTAATGACATGAATGGAGAACATGGAGCATGGGGCGTATGTGAACGCAAAGGAAGTTGGGCTGTTTGAAGCAATGCAGCAAATTTATACCAGGGCCCGCTGACCCGGTACGCACGACGCAGACCTGAGCCTCCCGCTTATGTCACGGGACACGAACTGAGCTTAGGCTGATCTCCTGTGGCACCTTGTTCAGTTTGCGCCGCATTGAAGGGGTTCGTGACACGCATTTACTTAAAGCTTCATACACATGCAAAAGATGGGTAGAAGAAATTTATTTTATATTTTGAAGGTAGGGCCGGAGCTCTATTGGTGGTTCCCATCTAGCCTATCAGGCCGTGCCTTGGATGAGCGAGGGCTTTGATGTGATATGTTCATGCAGAACTTATTTTCCGTCCGCGAGTGGCCCCCCCGAAAGTCTTCTTTGGTTTGAAGTGGAAGTTTGTTGTCTGGAAAGCATGATTGCCGAGCCATGCGGTAGCATAGAATGACCATTGTCGGCAACTTGCTTGTTGTTCTTCATTAGGCCGTGTCTATAAGGAGGTGTTAACATGCTACCATACTTTCGTTCGTTGAAAATATAAATTACCTTGTGCTGGACCAATGTCACTTTCAGTAAGTTTGACCGGAGGCACGAGGTTTGATCTAGGCGTTGCTTCGTCGGCCAATCTGGCGCAATATCGATCGATTCTAGAAAGAGTCGGTGGAAATTCATGTATAGAAGATGGCGAGGAATGAGCCACAAGATTAAAACCTACAGTGCAAGTTCTCCAAGCAATGTTTCATGCCTAAATTGTTCCCGAATGTCAGGAACATTGCTCTTGGCGACATTGTTTCCCATGACCCCTGGTGCGGAGCAGTTGCTGCCGAGCCATCTCTTCTTCAAAGACAGTTCGAAACCACTTTGCTCGACGGAATTTTTCGCAAGTTCGCACATATCGACAGCACTGAATTTATATATCTGCGCGGCTACTGAGTATTCTTCGATCAGTGGTTCTTTGGTGAAAGCAAACTGCAAGGGGTCATCAGTAGACAAGGAGACATTGAGTCCCCTTTTGAAGAAATTGGCGCATGGATTCTTATCGTATGTGAGAAACAGTGCGTTGTTACTGAGAGGTGACATCGCGATCCCTATCTGATCAAGGTAGAAGAGATACTGAAGCAGAGGGACTTTCCTCAATAGTATTCCATGGCTAATACTATGGCAGCAGAGAAATCCGACAGCAAGATGATCCGGATCACCCGCTTCACCACAGTGTGGCCTTAACACGAATGTGTTATAACCAAGCCGCTTGCGCCATGCATTCAGAGACGCGATGTTGGCGAACATAAAGTAAATCCAGTAGCTGTATGGTGGATTCTGCTTCGTGTTCCACTCTCTCGGGATCGGATACTTTCGATATAGTCGTCGCTCGGCCTTACTTTCGTCATCGACACTATCGAATCCAACAACCCGCTGGAGGAAGATATGCAGTTTAGGGTGCGAGGCTGGGTCCTTGGTAACTTCGAATAGCGGCTTGAAGACATTCGTTATGACCTGCTCAAAATTTTGCATCATTCCACTTGATTTATAGACGTCGTAGAGACGAGGGACTTGTATTAGCCAGCGAACATTGGGTGAAAACAATTTGTTATCCACGACCCAAGCAGCGAGCTTGTCCCATTCTTCGATTGATCTCCCGTATATAGAGATGCGCCACTCCACCATCTGATACTTGCTTGATTCTAGATCGGAGATGACTTCTTTCGTTATTTCAGCTAAATAGCGTCCTTTGATGAAATTGTCCGTCTTCAAGAAGATTTCGCGTAAGCGAGATTCGCCCACAGGGTTGTATTTGAGGTTGAATTTGTCGAACCGGTGGAATGAATCGGTATGTGCCTAATGGAGATGTTAGCGGTGGAGTAAAAATCATGGCAAAGTGACTTTGCTACATACGTGCATGTCCAGAGTGTCAATACTGAGGTCATAAGCTGTGAGATTAATGCTTTCAAATACTTCCCTTAGTGTCAAATGCTTCCCGTCCCTGAACAATACAACCTCATCTGGGGACTTTTTCATCTTGCTCTTGATGAAACGAAGGAGATGCTTCTGATTCATGCATGCGGAGTGGTGCACATGTGTATCGACTTTTCGAACATTATAGAAATCCCTATGAGGCACTTTCTTGCTGTCGGCGATTTCTTGGTACTCATTTAGAAGTGTATACAATTGAAACTTCCCTTCTAGGTAGGAGAGTCGTTTGAAAGCAAAGCTTTTCGCAGGTCCGTCCGTCGATATATCAGTGACTGCATCAAGGTCCATGTAGAAATCTCTTAAGGAAGGGATTTTGACCACTGGTCGTCGCGAATGCCGGGCAGAATCGCCCTCATAAACCTGATATACACTATTCTCGTCCAACTCGAAGACCCAGTCAGATTCTCCAGGAAGGGGCAGGCAGTCAGCCATATCAAAATCCTCGCCCACATCTTCACCCATCTTTCTTCTTTTGTGGTCAGCACGTGGCCGATCGTGAATCTTCCCAAGGTCCTTGTCATCATCCCAGGCCGGTTCTGGGGGTGGAGGGTAGATTTGCCAATCCGGGCCATCCTTTGGATTGTTTTCAGGCCCTTGCAACGATAGATGCATATATCTGGCCCTTCGATCAAGCAGGCTCTTGATTTTACGACAAATGACATCCAAATCTGAGGCTATCACATTGGCGCCTGGCGAAATATGCATGATGCCTTGGACTGCGCCGAGCCCATCTCCCGGATTTCCTAGACTGCTTGTTCCTGACAAGGTGTGCTGCTCGCCGAAAGACTGAAAAATAGAAGGTGCTTCGGAGGCTCTCTGCTTTTCTGAGTCCTCATTTTCTGGCCTACCGAAAGGTATTTCGGTAGTGTCTGTGTTTGAAAGTGTCTGCCGAACAATAGGCGATGGCTGTTTTGCTATTGCGGGAATCGTAGATTGCATGGCATCTCTGGGAATATTTGCCGTGTCAACAAGATCCCTTTGGGTCAGAGGAGTCGGTACACAGGTGGTAGTTGGTGCAGCTCCCTTGGAGAGTTGATCGCCGTCGCCAACGTTTCGAGTGGCGAGCTGATGGTGCTGGTAAAAAAGCTTTGCTTCAGTATGGCTCATGGACTTCTCGAAGGCATAGTCATATGTTGGCGTCTTGAGTTGTATGTCCCTTGGAAGAACATCTTCGGGTGTTTGTGGTGCGGACTCTGTAAGGTCTGGATTATTTAACGCAGCATTGGCAGTAACATGGAGGGGAAAGCCAGAGCCTGTCCCAAGAACGTGAGACAAAGTCTCCTCGTTTGATGGACCTAGAGGTGCGTTGGCATTAGAAATGGGCCTGGCAGCTTTATCTGAACTTGGAGAAGTCATTCTCGATCTTGTAGCCCACTTTGTTGTACACAGTTGTGCTGCTACAATCTTATAGAACTGGCTGTAATCAAGTTGCCCGATTAGTGAAATGCTTTCCAATTGGAATGGGCATCCAAGAACAAAAATTTATAGCCAGCCCGAAAGTGCTCACCGCATCTGCGCAGTACGTAAATTAACGTAAATCAGTAATTATTATTAAGCAGACGCCCGTGGGATTAGCCGACAAGTAATCAATAAAGTATGCCATTGTTATAGCTTTGGCATATACTCGGTATCAAGGCAGGTACTTGTAAACATTTTCTTTGATACTTATACTTGTCGTCGTTGATTTTGCTATATGGTGTTTATTAGTCCAAGATTACATATAAGTGACCCTGTGAATAGGAAGCTCTTTTCTGATATACTGGTACAGAGGTTTTAACCAAAAGTCATATTTTAGTTCTAGACTGTACTTAGTATAACTTTGGAAGAAGACCCAATAAGAATAATGAATAAATGGTCTTATTCCTCCGCCTTTTTAATGTGCAACTTACCAATGGTGGTTAGTATCATCGTAGTGGCGGGTGAGTGCGCACCGCCTCATTTAGGTTCTAGGTACTCCGTAGTCCGTAGTAGTCTAATAAAGGAGTAAGCTGTGACGTACTGCACCCACTTGCTGGTGGTTACCCCGTCTTCTGTACTAGCCCATGAAAACAATTAACACATATCCTCTAGGCAGAAACCCCAAACATCCGCAACACTAACATCAACCGTAAGTCAAGCCCTGCCTCATTTGCTCCTTCTATAAATAAAATGTGGAACAATCCCCTGAATCCCTTCTCCTACAAATCTGAACAATGACTTTCATCCAGTTCTGCCACTCAACCTCATCTAACAGCTTCACTCTAGTTTTCCTGTCACAATCTGTGCTCGTACTCCAGATATTTGATCCCAGCAGATATGGCTACTCTTAACTTGTCCACCAACGGGCCTTCAATAGCAAAGAGCTACCAGGCCGTGGTCGACTCGGCTCTGCCCGGTTCGAACTCCCCTACTCACGGGCAATGGGTTGTCTTCTCCGTTTCGACACCTCTTATCAATGCCTTCCAGCAAGACTCTGGCAATAAGGAAAGTGTCTTGAAGGTTCAAAATACCGGAGGTCTGTCAATTACCCCCTGGACTTTCGAATTTAACTTCGTTAACCCTTGTTTTTAAAGCTGGCGAGTTGGTGGATCTGATTGAAGAGTTCTCTGAGGGCAAAATTCAGTTTGCTTTCGTAAAGATTCTCGATCCGAACTCGGGGCTCCCTAAGAATGTGCTTATTGCCTGGTGTGGGGAGGGCGTACCTGAGCGTACTAAGGGATATTTCACCAGTCATCTCGCCGCTGTTTCTAAATTCCTGCATGTCAGTTTGCGCTATGCCCGATATGCATACCCCGTGCCCCATTCTGATACATAGAACCATAGGGTTATCACGTGCAAATAACCGCTCGTTCTGACCAGGACCTGACCGCGGAGGGTATAATACAGAAAGTGGGGGATGCGTCCGGAGCGAAGTATACCCCTGGGCTAGATCGGCCTACATCTACTGCAAAGCCCCCGGTATCAACTAAACCTGTCTTTAACCCCACACGGACCGGTGGCACTGCTGCGAACAATCCAGCAGTTGTTGCATCACGAGTGGCTGCGACAATGAGTGGGGATGATGGCTGGGGTCCTGACGCGCCCCCAGTCACGAGGACTGGTCTTCAAAAAGTCCAGTCAGCTTACAGGCCCACAAAGGTGAACATTCAAGAGCTCAAAGCCGGTGGGCAGTCTGACTCTGACTTCGCGGTATCCCGAGATACCGAGGACCGTGACGAAATTGTCAAAGGGGGCTACAAGCCTATCGGGAAGGTCGATATTGCTGCCATAAGAAGACAAGCACGTGAAGCAGGCAATCTGGCTGATGATCGTCCTGAGCCTGTGAAAGGGGCATATCAGCCAGTTGGGAAGGTCGATATCGCTGCTATACGGGCTAAAGCACAGGGTGGGATCACTGATCCAGTCACCGAGCCAACCTCTGTCGAGCCAAGACCTTTACCGGAAATGACTGGGTCCTTTAAGCCGTCCAATGCATCTCCTGTTGCAAGCCAATATGAACGTCTGACAAGCTTACCAAAACCGAAAGTTGCAAA